CATGGTGATGAGGAAGTCCCAAATGTATTGCGTGAAGCTGCGGTGTAGACAGGTGTCACAGAAGCAAGGCCATCATTATTAATCTGCCTCGTTACAGGTGTGTCCTGGACAGGTGTGATTGACTAAGTGGCCCAGTGACGGATGTGGGGTGTTATTGATTTACTGCATGATAAGTGCACTTCATCAGCCAACCGCAGTTTCATGCTGTATGTTATTCAACATTACAAGAGATAATGGATGGATTTCTGATCCATTACCCTTTTTAATTTGGACTTATGAAATCTCATTAATAGAGCACTCTGTTATTGTTTTTGTTTTTTATGTTTCATTTTCACCTTAAAGTACATATGTCACGACATTGGTAATAGATATATGTGTATAATCATTGTCATGATGGTATATGGAATAAAGCTGGGGTCTTGTACTGAAGGTTCATATGTCGACATATTCCAAATCGGATCCATGACATAAGGCAATACTATGCATGTAGATTCATAATCATGGTGATTCATAAATTGTTATTTTATTTTATTATATTTTTTATAACAATTCGCCATTTTGTAATATTTTTCAAAATTGATAAGCTGCTGGTGATGGAGTATGGATGTTTGTATGACTTTGAGAAGACAACGGATGATACGTTTTCCCAGTGTACCTTTAATGCATCGTCTGACTGGATATATTTGGAATGTAGGAGAGGTCTCCATTCATCATGGTGTCAAGCAGCCATAATCTTGTGTTCTCATGGGGTGTCAGGCAGGGAGACTCGCTGACTCGGTGTGTTTTCATACAAACATTGTTCATCTGATACATTGTGTAAACATGTAGTCCTGTAGAGCTCTGCCATGTCATGCAAGTCACAGGTAACTTTTTGACTCACTGGTTGATAGTAAATAAGGTGTAATAACAAGTCACTGTTTATGTAGACCTAGTATTTGTATGTGACATTGTTTTAGTCTCCATGGCCTTGCTTTGTAGCACGGCCCTGAGGTGTGGGGGCATCAAGTTACCACTGGAAAATAGTGAAACTAGCAGGAAAACAATCTCCTGACACTCACAACTTCGCCACAAATAATATGCACAATATTGAATTAGGTATTAATTAATGTTGATGAAATGCATTATATATCCTAAAGCCATATATTGTGTCTGAACTTACCCACTTCGATATGAATCAAGACTCATTACCTTTGTATACATATAAAACATTTTTTAGTAGTATAATATGCATCCTAGCTGTATTGTCTATATAATGATTGTGACAATTTATAGATATTTATACACAAGTAAATGTGGCAGATATCCCTAAGACTAACATTCTGATGAGAAGGATTCCTGAATTACTTGAGCTAGTTGCAGCCCACTGCTGGATCCTGCCATTGTTGCTGGATCCAACCATTGTTGCTGGATCCTGCCATTGTTGCTGGATCCTGCCATTGTTGCTGGATCCAACCATTGTTGCTGGATCCTGCCATTGTTGCTGGATCCAACCATTGTTGCTGGATCCTGCCATTGTTGCCATCCCGGTTCACCCCGATTATGTGTTTAGGTTGGTTTGCACCATACCCTTGCTCATGTGGTAAACGCCTGGGACCTGCATCACTTTGGGCCTTCCTACCACAGTAAGCTGACATGCAGTGCCGTAACTGGAATTACACCCAACTCACTCACTCACTCACACAACTCACTCAACCACTCACTCACTTACCCACTCACTCACTCACTCACTCACTCACTCACTCACTCACTCACTCACTCACTCACTCACTCACCCACCCACCCACTCTCTCACTCACCTACCCACCAACTTCTCTTCGTTCACCTACCTCACTCACTCACTCACTCACTCACTCACCCATTCACTCACCCACTCACTCACCCACCCACCCTGACAGCTTAGGGTTTGGGATGATGGATGTTGTTTGTTGTTCATTTATCAAATAGAAACACATGCCATTTTTTAGTGAGATCATTATTTGATCTTCAGGAAGTATATTATCATGGATCTGATGTTTCTTAATCATAACAGAACCTTCAGTCACTTTGATGGATAACATGTTTCTTTGTGAAATAGTAAAATATCCTTGTATTCAGGGTGTTCAAGTCTAGCTCTCTCACAGGACAAAAAAACAGAGCCTTTAAGCGACAAATTCAACAACCGCCACACACATGAGACGCATTAATCAGGAATAGGTTATGCCTCAGTAACTCACAAAACCTACCCAGATATCTAATTGAATGTGACACTCTAGAGAGGATGTTACAGATTCATGGCCAGATGTTTGATGGGGTATGTAGGTATAAATGTTTATGGCTGTAGGGCTGAGATCCATCACCATGCATGACATCCCACTCAGGATGATTGTGAAGGTCCAACTGTCTCACATCAAGCCATCCCACCTGACATTACACCAGGTCAGTAAGCCGCTGGGTCCAGCCAGGGCTGTAGACATCGGGTCCACCGAGGCTTGTTGACATGGGGTCCACCCAGTGTTGTTGTTATCGGGTCCACCCAGGGTTGTTGATATCAGGTCTACCCAGGGCTGTAGACATGGGTCCACCCAGTGTTGTTGTTATCGGGTCCACCCAGGGTTGTTGATATCAGGTCTACCCAGGGCTGTAGACATCGGGTCCACCCAGGGTTGTTGACATGGGGTCCACCCAGGGTTGTTGATGTCAGGTCCAACCAGGGTTGTTGATATTGGGTCCACCCAAGGTTGAAGACATCAGGTCCAACCAGGGTCTTTTTCATCGGGTCCACCCAGGGTTGTTATCATCGGGTCCACCCAGGGTTGTTATCATCAGGTCATCCAGGGTTGTCAGACATTAGGTCCACCCAGGTTTGTTATCATTGGGTCCATCCAGGGCTGTTATCAGCGGGTCTACCCAGGGCTGTTATCATTGGGTCCACCCAGGGTTGTTATCATTTGGTCCATCCAGGGCTGTTATCCTCAGGTCCACCCAGGGATGTCAGATACCGGGTCATTTCAGGGTTGTTATCATCAGGTCCACCCAGGGTTGTCAGACATCGGGTCCATCCAGGTCTGTTATCAACAGGTCCATCCAGGTCTGTTATCATCGGGTCCATCCAGGGTTGTTATCATCGGGTCTAACCAGGCCTGTTAATCCAGGTCCACCCAGGATTGATATCATCGTCTCCACCCAGGGTTGTCAGACATCAGGTCCACCCAGGTCTGTTATCATTGGTTCCACCAAGGATTGTTATCGGGTCTACCCAGGGCTGTCAGACATCGGGTCCCCCCATGGGTTGTCAGACATCGGGTCCAACCAGCGTTGTTATCATCTGGTCCACCAATGGTTGTTATTATCGGGTCCACCCAGGGTTGTTATCGGGTCGACCAAGGGTTGTGATCATTGGGTCCACCCAGGGCTGTCAGACATCGGGTCCACCCATGGGTTGTCAGACATCGGGTCCACCCAAGGTTGTTATCATCCGGTCCACCAATGGTTGTTATTATCGGGTCCACCAAGGGTTGTTATCGGGTCGACCAAGGGTTGTTATCATTGGGTCCACCCAGGGCTTTGAGCCATCATGCCCATGATGACCAGGTAATCTGGGTGTGTTCACTTTCCAGTTGGTTCGTTCCGCATTGATGCTTGGTAATATTGAATCTATTTGTGAAGCAGCGAAGCATGCTGTTGTACACAAGGCTGTCAGTGTTGGGAGGGACCTCCAGCCAGGCCTGTCCACACAGCCAGACAAGGGAGGAACTTGGGCCGTGGGGCGAGCTAGGCCATGCTCAAGTAACTATAGGTGTACAGACCTGGCTTCACAAGGAGCACTTATCTGGATAATGGTTTAGAAATTGTGGTTTCATCATTGTCAGCTTCATCACAGGGGAGCATCCAGTCATGTAAAATAACCTGAACTCTGTGACCTTGACCTCTGTGGATGATAGACCGAGCTTTATCAGGTGTTACCTGAAAGTCAAGGTTTGACGTATGCAAAGTGCCTGCATTTTTATTGCACAGTATACAATACATGTAAATAGGAGAACGTTATCCATGGGCCCGAGAGCGGTTTCCTGGCCCCAGGGCTGTACATGTGGTTTATTTCCCATCACTGATGTGACTCACCTCATCTACATTCAGTCATCTGAACTTCAAGTACTGTAATCTCTCATGTATGATTGTACGTTTTTATATAGTTTGGGTAATTGCAAACAGAATATAATGTATGTGATGTTTGTAATATAATATGATGATGATAAATTCTGTAATATTTTTTTTTTTTTTTTTTTATTCCTTTCTTTTATTATTTTAAATCCATCGTTTCCCCCCTTGTCATATATTTGTTGATTATTCCTAAATATATAGAAACAGTCTAGTATATGATTGAAGTGTTGTGTCTCCGTACTGTACCCACCATCAGTGCCTTGTCTCTGGACTCAATACAGAGACCACCTCCGTGGTCTAGTGGTGGAGCATCCGCCCGGAGAGTGGAAGGTTCGGAGTTCGATCCCTGGACACGACATTAAGCCCCATTTCACCTCACCACACCTCACTCAATACAGCATTGCAGAATTTCTGATTGTAGTTCCTGCCTTGGAACTCAAGATCATTGCTTAATAATGATAATAATAAGGCTATTTCTATAGCACAAAATTCCCCATCACTGAGGGACATGCTCAGTGCACATATATGTACATGTATACAACAGAGAGTGGACAGTAAGATAGTAAATATCTACACATTCAGTTGTAACTTTCAAAAAGGTCCGATTTGAGTCCAGACTTAAACACAGTGATACTAGATGCACTTTTGAGGCTGAAGGGATGGGAGTTCCATAGAGGCAACAGTGTGAGAGAAGGATCGAGCATTGAAGGACTTTAGTCTGTATTTTGGTACAGACAGGAGAAGTTGGTCATTTGATCAGAGATTTCTGGTAGATTTGTATTGGAGAAACATTTCTTGAAGACAGGCAGATTCCTTCCTAAAGTGGAAACTCAGTACTGAGAGTGATGCTGTTGTTGTTTCAGGACCTGTCTCTGGCCGCCATGTCCACCGACGATGTTCCCAAGTGGGTGTCACAGTGGGCCGCCTTGGCGAAGCAGCGAGCACTGAAGAAATCTCAGAGTCTAGATCTGGAAGAAGGTTGGTTTAGTCGAAATGTTTCATCTTGAGAAAAGCCTTTTGTTTGTAACAAGTTTGTTGAGGCGGCCCAAGTTCAGAAATACAATTTGGGGATGACATATTTTCGGGTACTTAACTGGAGATACAGTTAAATGTAGGTTTCAAAAATGGAAATTTGAGTTTTAGTGAACAACTCTATCTTGGCTTTAGTTTAAGTTGTTTTTTATCATTATTTTGTGATCTGATTCACATTTTTGTATTTAGGAAATATGACAAAAGACAAAAGACCAAAGTAGAATCTGTTTCACCTCTTGATGCTGCTATGAATAGTGTAGAGTTTCAAGCTCGTCATCACCTCCAGGCAATAATCCCATCAATAGCGCACGCTCCCCCAGGGATCACTGATTACACAATCGTGGGAAACGTCTTCAAAACTTATTTTTTCCTACATTACTTTTATCCCCTTTGTCCATAGATAAGCATACCTTTAAGCATTTCAGTATTATTCTGAAAATGACTTTTGTTTTGATGAACAGTGTCAGAATGCTGGTGAAGACATTAAAGGTTTATTCTATAATATAGATGGCTAGTGACTGAAGAGGCCACAATAGTCGCATCTATTCACTTTGTCCCTATTCATTTGAAATCAGTGGGGTACAAGCAGGGTATACTCGCCCTGAAGCCACGGACAATGAGATGCTTCACTTGAGCAATCAAACGTGGAGTCTCTGTGTGCCCTATTCAACTGTCACTGATCTGCAACCATGTAATTTACCTTTTTCAGGTCATAACAATATGAAAGATTTGGGCTCCCAGAAGCCACCTAATGTGCGTAAGAGACCAGGGACAGGAAGGAAGCTGCCCTCCATCCCCACTGACCAGAGTCCCTGCAGCAGTGATTACAGCCCTCGGATCGGGGAGCTGAGTCCACGGTCAGGAGATGCCACCCCAAGGCAAGAGGACCCACTCACATTGTGGCCCCTGGATTCAAAACAAAAAAGTGTGACTATTTCTAGTCAAGTGGTAACTCACTACCAGGAGACCAACGGGGACTCGTCGGCTCGTGGTCGGAGTGGAAGTGGGTCGGACATGAGCGGGGATACCACCCAGAGGACGGATAGTCCTGCCTCAGATTCCGCCCCGACAAACACGAGCATGGATACAGAGGTGTTGTTGAGGGATACCGTGACTGTGATGGCGGCCATGGAGGCTCGAATGGCTAACAGAGAGACTATGAATGGCTATTGTCAGAATGACACAGCTGGTGACTCAGACTCTGACAGCCTAGTGGCAATGGTTAATGGTGATGATAAGTTTGTAAAACCAACAACATTTTCAAGCCCAAGGGACAATCTAGGAAAGAGGTCAACAACCAAACATGTTTTAACATCAACACCTAAAAAACCTCCTCTGGGGAAATCTCTGTCTGTGAATAGGGACCAAAATGTGAGTAAAACTACCAAACCTAGAAGCTACAGTTTAGACACTTCAGGAGTGTCAGATGTTTATAGTGAATCCTCTGAGTTGGGAGACTCTGAAAGTTATCGTTCTGATGTCAGTTCAGACAATGTGGGAAGTTCCGCAAAGAAAGAGGCAAAGAAGGGCCTCATTACCAACACGAAGCCCAACAGAGCATTCGCACTGAGACGGGCCAAAGCTGATGGTCCAGAGGAAACTCCCAGGACAAACAGGAGCAGAAGCTCCACAGGAAGTACGCCCAGGGGATCCACCAACCGTACTGCCAGTTCCTCGAGAGCCCCCACGGCCTCCAGCGTGGCCAGGTCCACAGCCTCCAGCACGGCCAGGTCCACCGCACGGTCCAAGTCTGGGATGTCGGGGAGGTTTGATTCTGGCAAGAGTGAGGTCAGTCTAGGAGCTGAGATAGTCAAAAAGAGCAGGGAAAATATCAAATCATCATCTCCGAACTTTGATAGAAAAGATGGTGGTAGGCATAGTTTGCGATCAGGCTACAAGACCAACTCGCAAAAGACACTGTCTATTTTCAACCCTGTTGAAGCTGCACGGAGATCTGAACTGAAGGTTCTCAAGACCCAGTTGAAGAAGACTGAAGGATCTCGGGGACTGTCTGTTACTGGCAACAGTGCTCGGAGCCAGTCTCAGCCAGGAAGTCGCTCCAACTCACCCAAAGCAGCCGAGCGGCTTGCCTGGAAGCGGAGGAAGGAGTATGACCCTCGGAAAGCAGTTGCCTCTGCTAAAGCAAAAGCTAAAGACGTACCAAAATCAAAACCACTGCCGTCAAGTCAATCAACTTTGGCCAAGAAGCGGATGTACAGATCAGCTTCATTTACCAACTCCGCAGAACTCTCTGGCCGAAGTAGCGACACCTATAGAAATGGCTCCGTATCAAGTGTAGAGGATCTCAGTCTGACCACCAGCGAGGCCACGGACAGCTTCGACGAGCAGGGTCTCCCACGGGCATTCATTCCCCTATCCGGGCCACTGCGCCGAGACCGGATCTCCCACAGTGCTGACGAGGATGATACTAGTCTCTCCTTGCATTCATCTCAGGTGGGTAGTTGTCCCAGCATGTCTATGGTAGTGTTGTCAGTGACCCTCTTGTCTGTTGTATATCTGCATCTTGAGTTTTTTTATTGCACCCTAGTTTTACACTAACATAAAAGTCACATCATGAACATAACTTTGCGTCATTAGAAGGATTTTAGGGGTATGATGGTTTTACACCACTTTTAACAATATTCTAGCAAGATGAAAGGTTAACTTGTACCCATGTAGAGAATCAAACCAGGACTCTTCAGCAACACTGTAACCACTAGCCTACCCTGCCACCCTTGAATGAAGCAACATAACAATAGCATGAGGAGCATGAAAGGACCCTTGGAGATCCCTTGACATGTTATTATAATGGATGCTAAATCTTTAGTATCTAACAAGAAACTAGTGTATTTGTGTCAGGTTTTCTTAAATATCCTAACTTTATATTCTGACCATTTGTACTAAGGAAAAATAGTCTTTGAAATTATTAACAAAGTTTGCATCTGGCATCAAACTCCATTTGAAATTTATGAACATTCCTTGTTTGTTTAACTTAATCAAATATTTTATGATACTCTAACATTCGTAGATTATGGTTGAATTGCTTATCATATTTACGTTCCAGTTCATCAATTATCCAGTGTCCTATATCTCCAATCTATTATGATAAACCCCCTCCACCCATTCACTGCCATGGCTTGATTTTGAAGATGAAAACAGCTGTTCAATGAATTTAGTCTTGTGTGCCAAAGGAATTCTGTGGGAAATAAGTGATCAATCTCATTACAATCAGATCTTAGTGCTTGCTACCATAACATATCGATCTTAGGAAGTACTGCCATATAATCTTGGGCATCTATGTAAACGTTCCAGTATTTCCTTTGTTCAGTTTTGAAATTTTAAAACAAGAACTTGTCAAAATATATTTAAAAGCATAGTCTGTTATGGAAGTCACCAGTTTGAAACTGGTGCTGTAATTCAAGAAAGCTGCTTTCTGATTGGCTAATGTCAGCTTCCTGTCAATCATTTCATTGGTCTGTCAAAGTTCGCACGAGGTTGTTCTGGTAGTGAATGGGTTCAGGGCCAAGTTCCTCAAAGCGATCTTAGCGCTACGATGATTGTAAGCCTATGTTAAAGTATGGGACTTCGCTTTGAAGAACGGGGCCCTGGCTATTATCAGTTAGAATGGAGGTATAGTATACTGGATATTTGAGGGTGTCAAGGATAAACAATAAGTAAATTATATATTATCTTTAGCTTCTCGTATTTAATGAAAATGTCCTGAATAGCCAAAAGTTTGAATTTGAGGTAGTTAAGTATTTTAGTTTTGCACAATTATCTTTTGTTGCACTGGCCGTGTGACGTGTTCCTCCCAGCCTTCGTTGCTTCCGGTGTTGTCATGTCGTGTTGTCTTATAGGACATAAGTCGCGGCATGCTTGGGAGTGCTGTGTACAAATCCGCCTTTACACCACCACCGCCAAAGCTCAAGTCACCGTCAGTGGCGACATCCCCCCTCCCCACCTCCACCCTGTCGTCAAGGCGACGGACTCTTGATTCCATTGAGTACGAGGAAAACCATTCCAGACTGTCTGGCGGGGACAGTCCACAGGTTTGTTATAATGAAATACAGTACTTTCTGAAAATATGTCCCTCTAGTATTGAAATAGACAGCTAGCTTTATAATGGAGGCATCTATGCACAAGGCACACAAATGTTTTTATTAATTATTTTACAAATCCAACACAATTTCATAAAGGAATTTTCTTTTTCTACCATTTGATTAACAACTTTGATCAATATAAAAAGGGAAATAACTCTTTGACTTGTCATGAAAAGAAACAATCGACACAACACTGTTTATTTTTCTTGACATTTTATTTTAATTTTATTTCAACCACATTGCACATGTTTTTTCCGTAGATGCACAAGGAGGACATATTTTCAGAAATAAAATCTACCTTACCAGAGAGCCAGCATGTTTCTATGTTGAATGTACACATTAACTTCAGTGTGTTAGAAGAGTTATGTCCCCTGGCACTGTAACGTCCTTCAGACTACTTGTAACATTGATTGAACAGAAGAGGTTTGACATAAGCTTGTTAATAATAAACCCCCAATAGTCATGTTTGTTGTTCCTATTACCTGCGAAGTTCCCCATGACCAGTTCTCACACATTGTATTGTGAATCTGTTCTCCATTGACGACCAAACCTTTGTGACAGGCCTTGAGTTTGATAGTGTAGATAATGTATGTTTATGTCAAGATACATTCAGGGAAATATTTCCGGAATGTTTTTTCTACAGTTTTTTGTTTCTGAATGTGGTAAAGTTCTCCCGAGTAGGCTCTGAGCTGTTTCCCGTGTATCACCATCATGCCGTGCTGTCGCCTGTGTTTCCTCCTGTGTGTTGTGTTGTTATCCACTGCATGAATATCCTGTGTGTTGTCACAGCACGTCCCTACTAATGTGTGTGTTGTGTAGTGGAGTTCAGCCAGTGTTGGCCTGTAGTCTGTAGAAGATCTCGTTAGTTCTGTCAGTCCTGGAACATGACAGGGCACCAGTGGGGAGTCCGGGGTAGAATTGGTCCCCAGTTACCTTGTCATAAGAAACCAAGGAAATAGATACTAATACCAGTTATGATATGGAAATCTTCAAACAACTTGGGAATAAAAAGATGAAAACATTTACGAAGATGTACACCTTTAATCATGTGGACAAGATACAATAGCGTCCTAAAACAAAAAAATTATTATATGTTACATATTTTGTGAAAATCTTTTCTTGTTGTAAAATAAGAATTTTTCATGTTGTTTATTCAAAATTAATTTCAAGAATCATTCAAGTAAATATGTTAATAACATGACATAAACATAGCTCTAATGTCAACAGTACAACCTTGAGTTGGCTCCTGACTCCAGAAGCTAGGCGCCAGTGATATTTGAACCAATGGAACTGCATGGTAGTTTAGGGAAACCTTTGTTTATTAATGACTGCTTTAGTGAGTGAGTGAGTGAGTTCAGTTTAACACCGCTTTTAACAGTATTCCAGTTATATCGCGGCATGTCAGCTTAATGTGGGAGGAAAGCCTGAAGTGATGCAGGTCTTAGACGTTTACCACTTCGGTGAAACCCACGAGCACGGGTATGGTGCTGACAAACCTAGAAACATAATTGGGGCAAACCAGGATTCGAACCCACAATCATAGGTTTCTGGCGTGTCCAAGGGACGCAACTCTGCACAGAGAATCGCAGCGCTTTAGACGACTGGGCCACCCATGCCCCCAATGACTGCATTATGACAGAGACATTTCGTATGTTGAGTTTTTGTACAACAGTGCTGAAATAAAAATGTATGAAATAATCCCACCTTGCCCTCGGGAGAACATGATCTCCTTATTCAAACAAACACATGAAATACGTTTATGACACCTATTTATAGAACACCCCTGGGCCATGGACAGAAACGTGTCTTGATTATGATGAAAGGCTGTTTGTGATGTGATGAGTACTGCAGGTCTGTGGGTGTCTCAGAGGGGCTGTGGCCGACGATCTTATGTCCATGGCCTGTGTCAGTCTTGATGTTGCAGTGCAGTGTGTTAAACTTGGACATTGCTGCAGTGTATTTCTGGAGATCCTATTTCACCAAAGTGGCAAACATCTAAGACCTGCATCACTTCGGGCTTTCCTCCCACATTAAGCTGACACACCCTGATATAACTGGAATACTGTTCAAAGCGGCGTTAAACCCAACTCCATCACTCACTCATTAGGGTACTCTTTATCTACACATCATTAAGTGTCAGTAATATACAAACAAAGCCGTGGTTGAGTGACTGAAATCCAACTTGCTATTTAGCCCATGTGTCTGTTATGATGAAGTTGAGTTGTGTTATACATGTGGGTGCTGAGGTTGATGTGTTTATAGGGGCGGTTGGTTCAAGCGTTCACTCGTCACGCCAAAGACCTGGGTTCGATTCCCGACATGGGTACAATGTGTGAAGGCCATTTCTGGTGTCCCCCGCTGTGATATTGCTTGAATATTGCTAGAAGCGGCCTACAACCATACTCACTCACTCACTGATATGTGTATATTTCAGTCCTACGACACTCTCCTCATCACCTCCATCTACCAGTTGTCACTCAAGCTGAAGACGTCCACAGACAGGACACTCAACAAACTCAGGTACTGTCAGGTCACAGTAGACACAGGTACTGTCAGGTCACAGTAGACACAGGTACTGTCAGGTCACAGTAGACACAGGTACTGTCAGGTCACAGTAGACACAGGTACTGTCAGGTCACAATATACATAAGTACTGTCAGGTCACATTAGACCCAGGTACTGTCAGGTCACAGTAGACACAGGTACTGTCAGGTCACAGAAGATGCAGGTACTGTCAGGTCACAGTAGACACAGGTACTGTCAGGTCACAGTAGACACAGGTACTGTCAGGTCACAGTAAACACAGGTACTGTCAGGTCACAGTAGACACAGGTACTGTCAGATCACAGTAGACACAGGTACTGTCAGGTCACAGTAGACACAGGTACTGTCAGATCACAGTAGACACAGGTACTGTCAGGTCACAGTAGACACAGGTACTGTCAGGTCACAGTAGACACAGGTACTGTCAGGTCACAGTAGACACAGGTACTGTCAGGTCACATTAGACACAGGTACTGTCAGGTCACAGTAGACACAGGTACTGTCAGGTCACAGTAGACACAGGTACTGTCAGGTCACAGTAGACACAGGTACTGTCAGGTCACATTAGACACAGGTACTGTCAGGTCACAGTAGACACAGTTACTGTCAGGTCACAGTAGACACAGGTACTGTCAGGTCACAGTAGACACAGGTACTGTCAGGTCACAGTAGACACAGGTACTGTCAGGTCACATTAGACACAGGTACTGTCAGATCACAGTAGACACAGGTACTGTCAGGTCACAGTAGACACAGGTACTGTCAGGTCACATTAGACACAGGTACTGTCAGGTCACAGTAGACACAGGTACTGTCAGGTCACAGTAGACACAGGTACTGTCAGGTCACAGTAGACACAGGTACTGTCAGGTCACAATATACATAGGTACTGTCAGGTCACAGTAGACACAGGTACTGTCAGGTCACATTAGACCCAGGTACTGTCAGGTCACAGTAGACACAGGTACTGTCAGGTCACAGTAGACACAGGTACTGTCAGGTCACAGTAGACACAGGTACTGTCAGGTCACATTAGACACAGGTACTGTCAGGTCACAGTAGACACAGTTACTGTCAGGTCACAGTAGACACAGGTACTGTCAGGTCACAGTAGACACAGGTACTGTCAGGTCACAGTAGACACAGGTACTGTCAGGTCACATTAGACACAGGTACTGTCAGATCACAGTAGACACAGGTACTGTCAGGTCACAGTAGACACAGGTACTGTCAGGTCACATTAGACACAGGTACTGTCAGGTCACAGTAGACACAGGTACTGTCAGGTCACAGTAGACACAGGTACTGTCAGGTCACAGTAGACACAGGTACTGTCAGGTCACAATATACATAGGTACTGTCAGGTCACAGTAGACACAGGTACTGTCAGGTCACATTAGACCCAGGTACTGTCAGGTCACAGTAGACACAGGTACTGTCAGGTCACAGTAGACACAGGTACTGTCAGGTCACAGAAGATGAAGGTACTGTCAGGTCACAGTAGACACAGGTACTGTCAGATCACAGTAGACACAGGTACTGTCAGATCACATTAGACACATGTACTGTCAGGTCACAATAGACACAGGTACTGTCAGGTCACAGTGGACCCAGGTACTGTCAGATCACAGTAGACACAGGTACTGTCACCTCATAGTAGACACAGGTACTGTCAGATCACAGTAGACCCAGGTACTGTCAGATCACAGTAGACACAGGTACTGTCAGATCACAGTAGACACAGGTACTGTCAGATCACAGTAGACACAGGTACTGTCAGATCACAGTAGACACAGGTACTGTCAGGTCACAGTAGACACAGGTACTGTCAGGTCACAGTAGACACAGGTACTGTCAGATCACAGAAGATGAAGGTACTGTCAGTTCACAGTAGACACAAGTATTGTCAGGTCACAGTAAACACAGGTACTGTCAGGTCACAGTATACATAAGTATTGTCAGGTCACAGCAGACACAGGTACTGTCAGGTCACAGTAGACACAGTTACTGTCAGGTCACATTAGACACAGTTACTGTCAGGTCATAGTAGACACAGGTACTGTCAGGTCACAGTAGAAACAGGTATTGTCAGGTCACAGTAGATACAGTTACTGTCAGGTCACAGTAGACACAGTTACTGTCAGGTCACAGTAGACACAAGTATTGTCAGGTCACAGTAGAAACAGGTATTGTCAGGTCACAGTAGATACAGTTACTGTCAGGTCACAGTAGACACAGTTACTGTCAGGTCACAGTAGACACAAGTATTGTCAGGTCACAGTAGACACAGGTACTGTCAGGTCACAGTAGACACAGTTACTGTCAGGTCACAGAAGATGAAGGTACTGTCAGTTCACAGTAGACACAAGTATTGTCAGGTCACAGTAAACACAGGTACTGTCAGGTCACAGTATACATAAGTATTGTCAGGTCACAGCAGACACAGGTACTGTCAGGTCACAGTAGACACAGTTACTGTCAGGTCACATTAGACACAGTTACTGTCAGGTCATAGTAGACACAGGTACTGTCAGGTCACAGTAGAAACAGGTATTGTCAGGTCACAGTAGATACAGTTACTGTCAGGTCACAGTAGACACAGTTACTGTCAGGTCACAGTAGACACAAGTATTGTCAGGTCACAGTAGACACAGGTACTGTCAGGTCACAGTAGACACAGTTACTGTCAGGTCACAGTAGACACAGGTACTGTCAGATCACAGTAGACACAGGTACTGTCAGATCACAGTAGACACAGGTACTGTCAGGTCACAGTAGACACAGTTACTGTCAGGTCACAGTAGACACAGGTACTGACAGATCACAGTAGACACAGTTACTGTCAGGTCACAGTAGACACAGGTACTGTCAGATCACAGTAGACACAGGTACTGTCAGGTCACAGTAGACACAGGTACTGTCAGTTCACAGTAGACACAGGTACGGTCAGATATTTGTAGACAGATACTGTCAAGTCCGAACAACATGTCACAACAACACTCAGATATAAGCACAATTGATTACATGCCTAAACTGTACATTGGTCGTTGATGTATTTACAAGAAGTGGCAGGATATCCTATGTTAGTTTTGCTGTGAAAATATGAACACTGATTATGCACTGTCAATATGACCATCTGTATTGTGTTCTTGACAGAAACGTGTGTAATTGTTTTCAGAGAGCATAATCGTGTGAGTGCAACTCCCTCTCCCATTGACGACTTCCTGAGTCACTCGGGGAAGAACGAGATCCCAGCCTGGAAGTCAGCCAATCAGGAGCTGGCTGGCATCCTGAAGAATCTACGCAAAATTGAGCATCACCAACAAGGTACATCCGAGTTTTATACCACAGCAGACACACAGTGACCAATGAGTATGGGCTTTGGGTTAATTTACATATTTATTGGTCCTGTTTCTCCCTGATGAAATGGTGGGCGATGTTTCAGAAACCTAGGAATAAGGGCTTATATTGTCATAATTTCCTACAACAAAATGTCATTGTACTATTTGACACATGTACAAAATAAATCTGTCTGTCTGTCATATTGTTAGGAAGTTGAGGATCACAAGTATTCATGGCCTGGATGTGTAACATAGGTTCTCTGGTATTTTGAAGCACCAACAGGTGCTTGATTTCTTGTTTCTGTTTGTCTGTAGAGTCCTTGATAACCAGCACCCTGTGGGCACTGGTGCTGTTGCAAGGTGGTATACGTCAAAGATCTGTCACTTTAGCTTGCTCCCACATTAAAGAAATAAAACCCAATTCACTCACTCACTCACTTCTCCTGTTTCGTTCCAGTGGTACACCGAGCCTTGTTCCCCGATGAAGACTCGCCCACTGAAGTCACCGGAATCTCTTCAAGGGAAAAACAAAAATACTTCAAGGAAATTGAGCGGATACGGAATGAGTTGGCAGATTTCCGATTCATTGACAAGCCGGAGTGTGAGGAGGCGTGGAAGAAGCAGGAAGACCCACAAGAAATGTCTCCAGACATGGAGGAAATAGGGGAAGAAGAGTTCTACTAACTTGTTATCAAAGGAAGTAAAATTTGGCTTGGACTGATCCTGGAAATAAATGAGGCTATGATCTCAGTAATTACTTGTAAAATATTTTCTTAGTCAAGGAATGTTTTTTGCCGAATTTTACTGTCATAACGTCCATGACATAACTGAAGAAAGAGTCAGATCTTGTTACATTCTTGAGTGCCAAAGAATTTGTATGAAGAAATGTTGAGCCAGCTAACTGTGATGAGAGATTAATGACAGAAAAAACAAGAAATAATTATATGCCTTCTCAGAAATAATATTGATATATTTTCAGTTGTTAAAGATTAATGCAATGTATATCAAAATGATATAGTGTGGGCATTTGCTAAATTCCCAAGTCACTGGTCGTGCAGGTCGACAAACAAGGGGAGGTAACTCAAACATATTTACTTTTAAGTAATTTGTTTAAAGATATTGCAATTTACCGATCCTGTTGAGTGATATGGATTTATTAGAAATAGTAAATGGAAATATTAAGATGTAAATGACCCTCTGTGTGACAAGGGAGGTGTGTATTCCTCCTCCGTATCGCCCGGTCTGTATGTGCAGTCTGTTGTAACAGTGTGCTTGTACAGCCCAGCATGGCCTGCAATCCCCCATGGTAGTTACATGGATATATAGCTCTACATGTTGAAAACAAGCAGTACATGTTCCTTAGTTAAACTGGATATGGAATATACATGTTGAAGGAAGGCACTTGCTGCAGAGCCGGTATGGCTACTTATAACCCATCATTCTTACTTCATGTGGAATTATGAAACTCAAAATCATGTCTCTTCTTGGAAGTTTTCAAAGTTCATGGAAGGATTTTGTGGAACAAAGGGAGAGAATTCTCGATTGTCTAACCTATCTTGGCAGCTATTTTGTAAGCCTAGGTAGCTCAAACCTTTTCAAAACCAATGATACTGCAAAGATCATCACAAAATCTTTATTGCAAATTAACATTTCATATAATGTAAAATATATACTTTCCACTGGCTATTAGGAAAGGAATGAGATTGTTATTGTCCCCCTGTAGATTCCTTGTGTAAGCCAGTGTGACTTTGTTAGGATATATTTTAGGGTGGTTTAAAAGATTTTAGTGGTCATTATATTTGACACATATCCTTCATACATTTGTCAACTTTTCCAAATTACGAGGTGAATGTCGTTAGTGCGGCGTGTGGGCATAACGCTGTTTGGTAGCGCTTCACGCATTTCTTACACAGGTTAATATTGTATGTGGATATCTAGCCTAATCAAGTCTTTCAATGTAGTGACTTATATAAGAGTATTTGTAACGTGCAGTCTCTCTCTGTGATGTGATAAATTCTGAGATTCCGTATAATGAATATGCTAGGTTGTAGCGATGTGAAATATAAACACATAGTGTATGTTCATAATGTCACATATGTAGCTGTTCATATCATTTTGTTTCCATGAAATATTCATTTTTTATATCGCAAATACTAGAACATTTTCAGCAACAATAATAAGCTTAGCATGTTATGGGTGTCGAGTCAATGAGTTCTGCTATACAATGGTGCTGTGTGGTGTTGTAAATACATGCTTGTTTTTTTGCCATTCCTTTGTGCAATGTCTGACCAGTAGCAACCCACTTGGTCACGCTCCGTGTCTGTGATATAAGAAATGTCGCCTGTCACCAATAGTGTACGAGTCTTCGTTTAACGAGAAAGCCGAGTCCACACATAGCAACTGTGTAATATGCGAATACCCAGAAAATGACAAGGGCTTGTCAGTGTGGAACACACACTTTCTGAAATGAGGATATGATGATAATGTTATATTAAGGCTGGAACAACTTGACAAATTACAATCATACAGTGCATGACACAGACATTGTAAATTCTCAGATGATGGCTTGTACTTTAAGAGAAAGTTGTCTTTTATATGGAATGAGATGTTTTACATTTATGTGACGAGAGAAAACTACAAATGTTTCTGAAGCATCCAAAAACCCATAACACGGGGATACACATTTCTAAAATAAGATTACATTCAAAGTTACTTGGAAAAAATGTAATGTATTGCAGTGTGGATGAGGACTTGAGTTGTTTCAGCCGTAATGTTAACAATTATCCTCTCCCGGGTTGTTCAATATGGGCACTGGGCATGAGCCTGCATCTGTCCAGCTACAGTATGTGTGAACCACGCGCTTGTATCCAGGGTAGCCCCTTTAACAACTGCCTGAATCCCATCTGCTGGTTCAGGGTACACTCAGTGATGTACCAACTCAGTTGTATTTCCTCAGTCATCCTGTGAGAAGACTAACACCACAGGCTAAGAAGGGCAATACGGGAATATGTCCTTCAGAGGATGTGCTGGGAGTTATCAGTTAGCGATATCATCTGTCATGTGTTTTTCCTGCAAAGAATCTTCTATCAGAAGGTTTCCTACTGGGAAAGACTTCATTCGGATGATAATATCTTTCGTTGATTTTCGTTAACTCTTTTAGAAACATAGCAACATCTGGCCATGTTTTGTCAGTGCTTGAATGAATTGAGATTTGCTTGCACCATGTGCAAGCTGTGGGAGTATCTGTAGACCCCTATCCTACTGGGACATCCGCTGTGGCACTAGCGACCCCAGGAGCGACTCATCGGGAAGCGCTTTATTCATTCCAGACTGACTTAGCTCAAAGCTTGTTAACTGTAAATACATGATTGTTTTTGCAGACCTTGTGCTGTTTCTGTGTCCGTTTAATTCACATGCTCTTCTATATGATGCATTTGTACTTAGGAAAAGCCAGGTGAACAAATTTAACTTATTATAAACTTTCAAATCGCAATCTTTGTTTGTTATTTCTGTTATGTGTTTTACATCACATTCCACAGTAGGGGATACAAGAAATGGGCTTCACATATTTTACTCATGTTGGGAATCGAACCTGGGTCTTCGGCGTGACAAGCAAAGCTGTAACCACCAGGCTACCCCCACCTCTCCAGTTGTGGACTCAAGCATGCCATCGACAACATGTACACAGAAGAGCTGGAACCATAAATCAACTTTACGATCTGATCCGTATCACGATACCTTGCTCACGATCCAATATGTATAACAATACCTGGCTCACGATCTGATTCGTATCACAATACCTGGCTCACGATCTGATACATATCACATTACCTCACGATCTGATACGTATCACAATACCTTGCTCACGATCTGATACGTATCACAATACCTGGCTCACGATCTGATACATATCACATTACCTGGCTCACGATCCGATTTGTATCACAATACCTTGCTCACGATCCGATACATATCACAATACCTTGCTCACGATCTGATATGTATCACATTACCTTGCTCACGATCTGATATGTATCACATTACCTTGTTCACGATCTGATATGTATCACATTACCTTGCTCACGATCTGATATGTATCACATTACCTTGCTCACCATCTGATACATATCACATTACCTTGCTCACCATCTGATACGTATCACATTACCTTGCTCACCATCTGATACGTATCACATTACCTGGCTCACGATCTGATATGTATCACATTACCTTGCTCACCATCTGATACGTATCACATTACCTGACTCACGATCTGATATGTATCACATTACCTTGCTCACCATCTGATACGTATCACATTACCTGGCTCACGATCTGATACGTATCAAATTACCTGGCTCACGATCTGATAAGTATCACATTACATGGCTCACCATCTGATACGTATCACATTACCTGGCTCACGATCTGATACGTATCAAATTACCTGGCTCACGATCTGATATGTATCACATTACCTGGCTCACGATCTGATACGTATCACAATACTTTGCTCACGATCCAACACGTATCACAATACCTTGCTCACGATCCGAATCAATACCTTGCTCACAATCCAATATGTATAACAATATCTTGCTCACGATCCAATACGTATAACAATACCTTGCTCATGATCAAATACGTAACACGATACTGCATGTGCTCTTACTGGTGGTGCGAAGCCATCTTTCTCATAGACAGTATGACCAAATACGTGGCACACTAAACGATTTACAGTTGGCAGTGTCAAGTATGTTGCAATGGTTGAATATATTGACGTTTTCACAACTCATTTTCAATAGTAATTAGTGTTTGGTGTAACATTTATTAAAGAAAATATTTAGGTAAGAATCAATACTTTTTACCGAGTGTGCAATTGTGTTCTCTACTTGTTTCGAGAAGTAAAATATTGTGGTCCACTACCAGTACACATACACAACACAACTGTTTGTTTTTTATGAATTTAATAATAACCAACCAATATATTATGGATGTGTGTATATATAAAGATACAACATGATCTGATAGTATTATCATTCTAACAGCATCAGATACTAAACATACAATGGTTTGCGAAGTTTTTGACATGTTTGACAAATAGAACATTACAATCTAAAGTGGTGTACAGATGTGCTCTGTTACTTGTGTCCCGGCTCATAGCAAGACATCCTGCTGCTGGCTGTGTCATTGCAGTACCACAATCAACACATTCTTACAATGTAGGTGGCAGTGGCGGCAGCACCCTGTACAACAAGACAGGGATCTACTGCAGCATGTCCTCTGTTACACTGCGATGAATCAGATATGTCACAACAGCTACATAACACTGTATGCAGCATCTTCAGAATTCAGGACAACTCATAAGGACGATCTCTGTCATGGAGACCAGCAAACAGTTTTTGTAATAGATGTGTCAGACTTGAACCTTGCGATTGTTTACCGAGCTACGTCCACACTGTTTAACGAAGTGCAAACTTACCTAGTCATGCCTAAACGGTTACAGTAAAGAATGGAACAGGGTCAAAGGTAAAGAGTAGACCAATGTCATTTGGCGCATTCCTGTTCGTTACTATACAAGTTTGGCAGGGAACACAATGACAGGTAATGTGAGTCGGTCTCCGATTCATATCTGAGCAAATGTGGTGAGTGAAGGTGCCTTGGGTGGAAGTCCCATGACAGTTTCCTCTAGCCAACATCTTCAAATTGAAGCCCTTGAAGGAGAAGTCCAGAAGACCCTGGAATACAGAGTTTTTACCTGGACCTCGGGTCAATGAGATTTGGAACGAGGCACCAGCACATACCAAAAGCATCAAACCCCAACAAACTCAGGGACTGGCATTGTGTATTCAAGACTAGAATGTATTATGATGACTGGCTATCTCTCGCATCAGATGCCTGGAATCACTAACGTAAATCATCCATTGCAAAAGAAAAGAAAGATGGAGTTCTGAATGGCAAGGTTTGGAAGTGGGCAGCATCAACACCTAATAAACTGCAATCCTATGCATAACAAGACGGGATCAGATGGTCAGGCTCGCTGACTTTGTTGATACATGTCATCGATCCCAATTGCATGGATCGATGTTCATGATGTCAATCATTGGATTGTCTGCTCCAGACTCGATTATTTACAGACCCCCGTCATATAGCTGCAATATTGCTGAGTGCGGCGTTAAACAACAAACCAACCAACCATAACAAGATATCCGATATCACTATCTCAGCCAGTGAGTATATTGGAATTTTGTTTGTTCATACACTAGTATATAATAATAATATTGAAGTTAACTATAAAAGATAATAAAAGTCTGATAAAGACTTAAGAAGAGACTAGGGTTGCTTTACGTCATCAGAAGCAAGAAAACAGTGCCATGGCACCTGATGGAGTAAGTATATACTCTGAACATTGTGTTCTTCATAATAAAGAAGTTGACATCCATAAATTCTCTTCCTTGTGTATTATTTTATTGCCCGTGTTATGCAGTAGAAAATAATTTGTACTTGGAAGAATGTACAGATAATTCTAATCCTATATTGGCTGCAGCAAACTTGTGTACTTCTAAAAATTCACAGAAATTGCTTAAGTTGCCAAAAGTTTTGTACAAACTTCTTTGTATCAAAGAAGATATTAATATGCACCTACAAATATTAGATATGTGTAATGTACTATGGGTCAAATGACCCGGAATTCTGAAACTGAATCTGAACCTGAATCGGCAAAACATGGAGCAAGGGCCATAACTCTGTAAAACATGAATTCAAGACACCAATTTTTTAACCCATTTAAGATCATGACCATTAATATCAGTGTGTAAAATTCACTTCTCTAACTTTAATAGTTTTTGAGACAATTTATCCCCATAGAGAAGCAGACGGAAAGACGGGCATTAGGATGGCTGAAACTCCTCCTGTATCCCACACACCACATTGTGGCTGACGATAATAATGAAAATTACTGAATCGAAAATACATTACACAATGTATGCATGTAAGATCTAATTTAAGATCCCTTTAGCCCCATGAATTAAGTCGAAACCAACAAACATAACTATGTTGAAAATAAACGCTTGCCATAAAATACACCAACACAGGCTATATTTAGTAAATAAATTTGAAAACTCTCAACATCACTGGGCTCATTCAATGACACCAGCCACGCTGTCACACAGCCATGCTGTCAAACTGTCACACAGCCACACAGTCACACTGTCACACAGCCACACAGTCACACTGTCACACAGCCACACTGTCACACTGCGTTATTTCGGCAGTACATCTGGCAACAACAATTCACAAATTACGTTCTTTGGTACTGTTTGTAAAGTTTGTGGTACTGAATTCTAAAGGTGGGCCATCAGTCCAGTAGCTTCTGTACAGAATGCTGTGTCACTTGCTTGGATGAAATGAAAGACTAGATAGGAACACACTACTCCTTCCAAAACAGACGAAAGAGAATCTGTCCATGAATATTACAGCCTGGACAAGAAAAGAGACTTACTGATAAACAAGCCACTGTGCATAGTGCAAACTGTTATGATCTGAGATGAAGTGTCGTGAGACTATACAAATATACAATTTGACAGGTAACAATGTGATCACTAACATAATCATGATAATACAATGTGATATATAATACCTATAATCATTCAATAAACACATAACCGCATCAAGCACAATCACGTACAATATCATTCACGGGTAAACCAGTCATAAAACATTTCACAGTAAAGAGGAGATGGAGAATTTCAACACGCTATGGAACACATATTTACGAATCAGAATAAACTTGTTTTGAGTACACAGAAAAAAATATGCTTGAGCTTCAGATACAAAAGCTGGTCTAGGGTCGTGAACAAGGCTGCCATTTGAGAGAGTGTCAACAAGGGGAACTAACTCCGGGGAGAAGATACCTCAAACACAGGCAACAAGATCACTGTACAAATACAGACACTGCAGTTAAGAAGGCAATTTCTTGCTTCTTGGAGCAACATATAAACAATGCTAGAACCTAGGGATGTCATCGTAAGTCTTGATATCGATGTACCAATAAATTGTTAATACCGATGCACTATCGATACAAATTTATGAATATAGATACATGTATCATATTAATAATTCACTGCCTGTGAAACCTTTACATGTGTTTACCATGGTTTAGACAATGAGAAGACAGAGAATTCAATTTGAAATATTTCATGAATCCACATAGTTCGTACTTAGCATTAAATTGATTAATTGCACGTCTTCATATTTTACCTTTTCACACACGGAATTAATTTTATTATCAATTGATATATTGTGATACTTTGAGTCAATATAAATACTGAAATTTCTGGTCAATGACCCCCACTAGAATTACACTTTTGGTGTAGGTAAATATGTTTTACGACATCAAAATGGAGGCAACTTCACATCAACCTTAACATACTCAGTCCAGGCCTGGCAAATCTGCGGTTGAGATACGACTTAGTCATTATTGCTGTGGGGTGCTAGAACATGACCTCTTGGACGAGTGACACACGGTCAGAGGACCAGAACACAACTCCTCAAAATGCATCAAAGGGAGATAACTGCAGCTACCTCCGTGGACAGTCCCCACGATACCAGGCTGTACCGGTGCACAATCACAGCATCGGCAGATAGATTCAACACAGCTTTCAAGGATTGGCCATGTACTCTCTACTCCCTCCACTCAAGAAAATCACAGTAAATCACAAGGAAAATAAGGATGAGTTTGTAGAAGTAATCACTATCCTTTCCTTGGTTTCACTGAATTATGACAATTGGCGTTTTAGAATTATTAAGCATTTCATCAGCTGCTTTGGGCTGAAAACTCACTTTACATTGGTTTGCCCACTTTAGAAAGTAAAACTTTTAAGTTACTACAAAACAGTTACAGAAGACTTGCAACATTACAGCACTTCTTTTAGTGGCATTTAGAAGTTGGTGTGATGAAGTAAGACAAGTTCTATGGATGACTGACTGAGTATGGTTTTACGCCGCTTTTAGCAATATTCCAGCAATATCATGGCGGGGGACACCAGAAATGGGCTTCACACATTGTACCCATGTCGGGAATCGAACCCGGGTCTTCGGCGTGACGAGCGGACGCTTTAACCACTAGGCTACCCGACCGCCCCTTCTATGGATGAACAACTTCTTTATTACAATTAGTGCGACATTTCGGTGTACATCCTAACACCTTTATCAAGCATGCGATGTTTCGGTGTAGATCCTAACACCTTTATCAAGCATGCAATGTTTCGGTGTAGATCCTAACACCTTTATCAAGCATGCGATGTTTCGGTGTAGATCCTAACACCTTTATCAAGCATGCGATGTTTCGGTGTAGATCCTAACACCTTTATCAAGCATGCGATGTTTCAGTGTAGATCCTAACACCTTTATCAAGCATGCGATGTTTCAGTGTAGATCCTAACACCTTTATCAAGCATCTCTATCAGTCTGCTTGCTGACTCTGTGTCCATTAGTCATCCACTGGCTTCCAATTATCTTAATCAGCTCTCTGTGTCCATCAATCAATTTACTGTATAAACTTTGATGTTAGTAATTATATATACTTATGTTGTTTAGCACTATCCATCACTTGCTTGGTAAAGGCGTTAGGATCTACACCGAAATGTCGCACCAATTGTAATAAAGAAGTTGTTCATCCATAGAACTTGTCTTACTTCAACATTATAGCACTAAAACAATGTACGTGTCTGAACAACTCTTGTGAAAATGACCACTTGGTAAGATACTACACTATGGACCCATTTTGTGTTCCCACAATAAACCTTGGGGAGAGTTCATGTCCAATCTAACATGGCTGATTTCATTTGTTATCACTTGGTCCAAGTGGCGTGGTCCGGCTGGTTGAACTCAGAGGACAAGGCTCAGGACGACCTCCAGGATTGTGTCATGCGGGAGATAGAACTGACATCACTTGAAGGGGAGAGCACTGGTGTCGTGAAGCAGGATGACTGCCAACAGTCTTCTCAGGAACAGTTGAGACAGAAGGGTCGTTCCACTGCCTCGTCGTAACTGTGGACAGATGTGTCAAGATCTTACATGACCCTGTCTGTACATATGCCTCTGTATATATAGTTTAACATGGTCTCGATCTTGAATCAGAATTGAAAAGTGAAGACTTGGGGGAAACAGATGACTATGTGTAAGGGTTGGCAGATGAGACTCTCTGATGCAGGTGTCAGAGGGTCAATGTCACTAGTGTTTTGTCCGAGGGTCACTTTTACTAGTGTTCTGACCGAGGGTCACCGTCACTAGTGCTCTGTCCAAGGGTCACTGTCGTCAGTGTTTTGTCCCAGGGTCACTGTTACTAGTGTTCTAACTGAGGGTGACCATCACTAGTGTTTTGTCCGAGGGTCACTTTTACTAATGTTCTGTCCGAGTGTCACTGTCACTAGTGCTCTGTCTGAGTGTCACCGTCACTAGTGTTCTGTCCGAGTGTCACTGTCACTAGTGCTCTGTCCGAGTGTCACTGTCACTAGTGCTCTGTCCGAGTGTCACTGTCACTAGTGCTCTGTCCGAGTGTCACCGTCACTAGTGCTCTGTCCGAGTGTCACTGTTACTAGTGCTCTGTCCGAGTGTCACTGTAACTAGTGTTCTGTCCGAGTGTCACTGTCACTAGTGCTCTGTCCACGTATCACTGGCATTAGTGTTCTGTCCAAGTGTCACTGTCACTAGTGTTTTCTCCAAGGGTCACTGTCACTAGTGCTCTGTCCAAGTGTCACTGTCACTAGTGTTCTCTCCGAGGGTCACTGTCACTAGTGCTCTGTCCGAGTGTCACTGTCACTAGTGCTCTGTCCAAGTGTCACTGTCACTAGTTTTCTCCCCGAGGGTCACTGTCACTAGTGCTCTGTCCAAGTGTCACTGTCACTAGTGCTCTGTCCAAGTGTCACTGTCACTAGTGTTCTCTCCGAAGGTCACTGTCGTCAGTGTTCTGTCCAAGTGTCACTGTCACTAGTGCTCTGTCCGAGTGTCACTGTCACTAGTGCTCTGTCCAAGTGTCACTGTCACTAGTGCTCTGTCCAAGTGTCACTGTCACTAGTGTTCTCTCCGAGGGTCACTGTCACTAGTGCTCTGTCCAAGTGTCACTGTCACTAGTGTTCTCTCCGAGGGTCACTGTCACTAGTGCTCTGTCCGAGTGTCACTGTCACTAGTGCTCTGTCCAAGTGTCACTGTCACTAGTGTTCTCTCCGAGGGTCACTGTCACTAGTGCTCTGTCCGAGTGTCACTGTCACTAGTGCTCTGTCCAAGTGTCACTGTCACTAGTTTTCTCCCCGAGGGTCACTGTCACTAGTGCTCTGTCCAAGTGTCACTGTCACTAGTGCTCTGTCCAAGTGTCACTGTCACTAGTGTTCTCTCCGAAGGTCACTGTCGTCAGTGTTCTGTCCAAGGGTCACTGTCATTAGTGATCTGTCCAAGGGTCACTGTCATCATGGTCTGTCGGAGTGTCACTGTCACTAGTGCTCTGTCCAAGTGTCACTGTCACTAGTGTTCTGTCCAAGGGTCACTGTCACTAGTGCTCTGTCCAAGTGTCACTGTCACCAGTGTTCTGTCCAAGGGTCACTGTCATCAGTGTTCTGTCCGAGTGTCACTGTCACTAGTGCTCTGTCCAAGTGTCACTGTCACTAGTGCTCTGTCCAAGGGTCACTGTCACTAGTGTTCTCTCCGAAGGTCACTGTCACTAGTGCTCTGTCCAAGTGTCACTGTCACCAGTGTTCTGTCCAAGGGTCACTGTCATCAGTGTTCTGTCCAAGTGTCACTGTCACTAGTGCTCTGTCCAAGTGTCACTGTCACTAGTGCTCTGTCCAAGGGTCACTGTCACTAGTGCTCTGTCCAAGTGTCACTGTCACTAGTGCTCTGTCCAAGTGTCACTGTCATCAGTGTTCTGTCCAAGTGTCACTGTCACTAGTGCTCTGTCCAAGTGTCACTGTCACTAGTGTTCTCTCCGAAGGTCACTATCACCAGTGTTCTGTCCAAGTGTCACTGTCACCAGTGTTCTGTCCAAGGGTCACTGTCATCATGGTCTGTCGGAGTGTCACTGTCACTAGTGATCTGTCCAAGGGTCACTGTCACTAGTGTTCTCTCCGAAGGTCACTGTCACCAGTGTTCTGTCCAAGTGTCACTGTCACCAGTGTTCTGTCCAAGTGTCACTGTCATCAGTGTTCTGTCCAAGTGTCACTGTCACAAGTGCTCTGTCCAAGTGTCACTGTCACTAGTGTTCTCTCCGAAGGTCACTGTCACCAGTGTTCTGTCCAAGTGTCACTGTCACCAGTGTTCTGTCCAAGGGTCACTGTCATCATGGTCTGTCGGAGTGTCACTGTCACTAGTGATCTGTCCAAGGGTCATTGTCATTAGTGATCTGTCCGAGTGTCACTGTCACTAGTGATCTGTCCGAGGGTCATTGTCACTAGTGATCTGTCCGAGTGTCACTGTCACTAGTGCTCTGTCCAAGTGTCACTGTCACTAGTTTTCTCCCCGAGTGTCACTGTCACTAGTGCTCTGTCCAAGTGTCACTGTCACCAGTGTTCTGTCAGAGGGTCACTGTCATTAGTGATCTGTCCAAGGGTCACTGTCATCATGGTCTGTCGGAGTGTCACTGTCACTAGTGCTCTGTCCAAGTGTCACTGTCACTAGTGCTCTGTCCAAGTGTCACTGTCACCAGTGTTCTGTCCAAGTGTCACTGTCACTAGTGCTCTGTCCAAGTGTCACTGTCACTAGTGTTCTCTCCAAAGGTCACTGTCACCAGTGTTCTGTCCAAGTGTCACTGTCATCAGTGTTCTGTCCAAGTGTCACTGTCACTAGTGCTCTGTCCAAGTGTCACTGTCACTAGTGTTCTCTCCGAAGGTCACTGTCATTAGTGATCTGTCCAAGTGTCACTGTCATCAGTGTTCTGTCCAAGGGTCACTGTCATCATGGTCTGTCGGAGTGTCACTGTCACTAGTGATCTGTCCAAGGGTCATTGTCATTAGTGATCTGTCCGAGTGTCACTGTCACTAGTGATCTGTCCGAGGGTCATTGTCACTAGTGATCTGTCCGAGTGTCACTGTCACTAGTGATCTGTCTAAGGGTCACTGTCACTAGTGTTCTGTCCAAGGGTCATTGTCACTAGTGATCTGTCCGAGTGTCACTGTCACTAGTGCTCTGTCCGAGTGTCACTGTCACTAGTGCTCTGTCCGAGTGTCACTGTCACTAGTGATCTGTCCAAGGGTCATTGTCACTAGTGATCTGTCCGAGTGTCACTGTTACTAGTGCTCTGTCCAACTGTCACTGTCTCTAGTGCTCTGTCCACGTGCCACTTGCATTAGCGTTCTGTCCGAGTGTCAGCGTCACTAGTGCTCCGTCCGAGTGTCACTGTCATCAGTGTTCTGTCTGAGTGTCACTGTTACTAGCGCTCTGTCCGAGTGTCACTGTCTCTAGTGCTCTGTCCACGTGCCACTGGCATTAGTGTTCTGTCGGAGTGTCACTGTCACTAGTGTTCTGTCCGAGTGTCACTGTCACTAGTGTTCTGTCCGAGTGTCACTGTCACTAGTGCTCTGTCCGAGTGTCACTGTCACTAGTGCTCTGTCCGAGTGTCACTGTCACTAGTGCTCTGTCCAAGTGTCACCGTCACTAGTGCTCTGTCCGAGTGTCACTGTTACTAGTGCTCTGTCCGAGTGTCACTGTCACTAGTGTTCTGTCCGAGTGTCACTGTCACTAGTGCTCTGTCCGAGTGTCACTGTCACTAGTGCTCTGTCCAAGTGTCACTGTCACAAGTATTCTGTCCGAGTGTCACTGTCACTGGTGCTCTGTCTGAGTGTCACCGTCACTAGTGCTCTGTCCAAGTGTCACTGTCACTAGTGCTCTGTCCGAGTGTCACTGTCACTAGTGCTCTGTCCACTTATCACTGGCATTAGTGTTCTGTCCAAGTGTCACTGTCACTAGTGTTTTCTCCGAGGGTCACTGTCACTAGTGTTCTGTCCAAGTGTCACTGTCACTAGTGCTCTGTCCGAGTGTCACTGTCACTAGTGTTGGTCCAAGTGTCACTGTCACAAGTATTCTGTCCGAGTGTCACTGTCACTGGTGCTCTGTCTGAGTGTCACCGTCACTAGTGCTCTGTCCGAGTGTCACTGTCACTAGTGCTCTGTCCAAGTGTCACTGTCACTAGTGCTCTGTCCAAGTGTCACTGTCACTAGTTTTCTCTCCGAGGGTCACTGTCACTAGTGCTCTGTCCAAGTGTCACTGTCACTAGTGTTCTCTCCGAAGGTCACTGTCACCAGTGTTCTGTCCAAGGGTCACTGTCATTAGTGATCTGTCCGAGGGTCACTGTCACTAGTGATCTGTCTAAGGGTCATTGTCACTAGTGATCTGTCCGAGTGTCACTGTCACTAGTGATCTGTCTAAGGGTCACTGTCACTGGTGCTCTGTCCAAGTGTCACTGTCACTAGTTTTCTCTCCGAGGGTCACTGTCACTAGTGCTCTGTCCAAGTGTCACTGTCACTAGTGTTCTCTCCGAAGGTCACTGTCACCAGTGTTCTGTCCAAGGGTCACTGTCATTAGTGATCTGTCCGAGGGTCACTGTCACTAGTGATCTGTCCAAGGGTCATTGTCACTAGTGATCTGTCCGAGTGTCACTGTCACTAGTGATCTGTCTAAGGGTCACTGTCACTAGTGTTCTGTCCAAGGGTCATTGTCACTAGTGCTCTGTCCGAGTGTCACTGTCACTAGTGCTCTGTCCGAGTGTCACTGTCACTAGTGATCTGTCCAAGGGTCATTGTCATTAGTGATCTGTCCGAGGGTCATTGTCACTAGTGCTCTGTCCGAGTGTCACTGTCACTAGTGCTCTGTCCGAGTGTCACTGTCACTAGTGATCTGTCCAAGGGTCATTGTCACTAGTGATCTGTCCGAGTGTCACCGTCACTAGTGCTCTGTCAGAGTGTTACTTTTACTAGTGCTCTGTCCAAGTGTCACTGTCTCTAGTGCTCTGTCCAAGTGTCACCGCCACTAGTGCTCTGTCTGAGTGTCACTGTTACTAGTGCTCTGTCCAACTGTCACTGTCTCTAGTGCTCTGTCCACGTGCCACTTGCATTAGCGTTCTGTCCGAGTGTCAGCGTCACTAGTGCTCCGTCCGAGTGTCACTGTCATCAGTGTTCTGTCTGAGTGTCACTGTTACTAGCGCTCTGTCCTAGTGTCACTGTCTCTAGTGCTCTGTCCACGTGCCACTGGCATTAGTGTTCTGTCGGAGTGTCACTGTTACTAGTGCTCGGTCCGAGTGTTACTTTTACTAGTGCTCTGTCCGAGTGTCACTGTCATCAGTGTTCTGACCGAGTGTTACTTTTCCTAGTGCTCTGTCCGAGTGTCACTGTTACTAGTGTTCTGTCCGAGTGTCACTGTTACTAGTGTTCTGTCCGAGTGTCACTGTCACTAGTGTTCTGTCTGAGCGTCACTGTCACTAGTGCTCTGTCCGAGTGTCACTGTCGCTAGTGTTCTGTCCGAGTGTCACTGTCTCTAGTGCTCTGTCCGAGTGTCACTGTCACTAGTGTTCTGTCCGAGTGTCACTGTCACTAGTGTTCTGTCCGAGTGTCACTGTCTCTAGTGCTCTGTCCGAGTGTCACTGTCATCAGTGTTCTGTCCGAGTGTCACTGTCATCAGTATCTGTCTGAGGGGCATTGTCACTCGTGTTCTTTCCAAAAGGCAAGGGAACACTTACTTGAGCACCGAGCAGAGCTGACAGAAGTCCCCGCCGCACTGGGTGCACCTGGTGCTGCAAGAGGAACACTTCACCTGCTCACAGAAGTTGCAGGCCGCGAATGTTCCTCGGGGGGCAGAGGTACGACAGTTGACACATGCAGCTGAAAGTATGAAAAAAATACATGCTCAAGTAATGGTACATCCGTTTGGGCCACACCAGGCTTCTAAATTCATGTTGGTCTGCTAGGCCGAGGCTACTTAAGTTTGGTGATGACAAGAGAAAAGCCAGTGACGGTAGGTAGTCCTCACTGACTAGTAGCATTTGACATCTATAATTCTGAAGCAGTTCTCAACACTTCAATTTAGCTAATATTGGAACTGAATGAAACTGACAGAAATTTTAGTCTTGTTCAAGTAGGACTAGCTACAAATTCTGAAGACAAGTGAGGACACTAGTCTTGGACTAGTCTTTAAAAAAATTCTTTGGGGCTGTTAACCTGTTTCCTACGTATTTAAAGTCCTTGGACATTTTGACTGTTTGTTCTGTCTGATTCACTTCAGGAAAGATAATGTTTATAGACACAATGCAGAAATAAAATAAAATCCCTTCTTTTTTTTTTAAAGTGATTAATATTTTTTTGCCCTCCTGCCTTCAGTTATTTTGGCAATGAAAAAACAAGCAATTAAATTGGTCTTCATATTCTCACAAATGCAAAGTGAGTGAGTATGGTCTTACGCCGCTTTTAGCAATATTCCAGCAATATCACGGCAGGGGACACTGGAAATGGGCTTCTCACATTGTACCTATGTGGGTAATCGAACCTGGGTCTTCGGCACGACAAGCAAAGCTTTAACCACTAGGCTACCTGACAATTACAAGGAGTAAAGTAGAATGGTAATGTGCACAGGAATAACCAGTGTTCGAAACAAAGGGGACCATTAAGGTATGATGCTTGTATACTATATGAATCTACATGATGTGGGTACCCTCAAAATTTGTACTTTCACACAAGGATCATAAAAGGATCCCATAACTTTCATGATTAATTTCAAACAATGAACCATGAAATAACACATCTAAAAAACATGAAGGTACGCTACCAGTACTAGTGCTAATTCAATTTCTAATTGTATTTCTTTAAACCTAGGTGTGAGACGCTAACACACTGAAGCTCACCTTATAAGCTGATGTTATGAGACAACATGAGTAAAACATTGCCAAACATTTGTGGTAAATAATGGCTCTACATCATCATATTTGTCATGCTAACTTGAACATATCCAGTGAACATATTGGAAAGTCGGTCAACATGAACTTTTACTAACATTTTGGAAGGTGCGTCACATGGTCAGGTCTGTACATGTTGAAATGGATGAACCAATGCAAGAAACAAGCAATGAAGATGGGGAGGGTGCATGGTGGGGAATCACACGTGATGTTTCAATTTTACATTTGATTTTTTATAAACAGTGCATCAAACAACACAGAAAGTGCACAAATAGAAACAAAATGACAAAGAAAACAAACACCCTCCAAATGAAATATTTAGCTTGCCTTTTGGTTTTAAGCTTAAAGACGGAAAAGTTGATTGTTTCTTGAAGGAGAATCCAGGAGTACCTGCGCCCCCAGCGGACTTATCCCCACTAACCCCGGTAGATGAGACCAGCTGACCATTGTGGTCAAGACACAGCTGACCCGGAAGGCGTGACCCAGCATCTCCGCACTCGGTCATTCCCACTGCCATATCCTCGTCTGCCGTCATGCGCATCTCCGTCTCTTCACTTTTTGCTGCAGGCGTGGTCAGATGACCACACTGGTCAAGGCACATCTGACCTGGCAGCAGGCTGCGTGATGATGTCGGTTCTCCCGAGGCCTGCCACATCATGTTGTCATTGGCATCAAAGACAACCTCTTTAGTGAAAGCTTTTTGGGATCCTTTGAACAATATGTCTCTGGTTTTCTCTGAAATGGAGTTTTTTTTAGTTTTTTAATTTCACTTTTGTAGAAGAAAATAGGGCATGAAGGTGTTACTGATGTGTTTTGAAATAGGTGTAAATTTTAACTAATACCTTTGTCATCATATCGGTATCACAGCAAAAACAGTGACAAAATGTTTCATTAAATGGAGGGTATCCCTAAAATAGCATAGTCCTAAGGCCAATCTCATTGGCCCCCTGTAAGAAGTCATGATTCGTAGCAAACGGAATGATTATGAGTTACTGTGAACCCCTCTTTCCCAGTTACAGCAAACACCGAACTGGGCCATAAACGTAAGATTGTATGATTCGGAAACGATATCCGAATTTTCCACACTTATATGAGTTGTCATACTGACAGCCAGTAAGTAGATCATGTATTCAAAACAGGGTCGGACTCTGAGGTCGAGAAATGACTGTCAGGGCATGTATAAATACGCACCGTATACAGACTTCATGAGTTCGTCTTGTGCAACGCCAAGATCCACCTCCTTTTGACCAACATGAGTTTTAAGCTGCAGGGGTGACTGTTCACCAAACGGGTTAGATCGCTTGGGCATGCTGAAAACGTACACCAACTGAACAACCGAGTCGAGACTTTGTTGTTGACAGTTTCGCGGGAAATAACAGCATTTCCGATCACTGACGCATGCGCCTGCTCCCTTGCTTGCTTACCTCCCTTTGGTTGCGTTGTAAACTGGTGCCACTGTTGGTTCTTGTTGCTGTAGCCAGCTAAGCGCTTTAAAAACAATGATAAACAAAACACTTAAACGTATTATTTGTAAAACGTTAATAACTCTTGTTATTTATTGCCGAATGTTTGTAGTTATTATGCCGCTATGAATGCAACTGACTTGTGATATATATGAACGGAGACCAAAATTACAGAGACGGGAATTTTTATTGGAAGATTTTTCATATGTAATTAATAATACACGAAATAGGTAACCAGGACATGTGAATACACGAAGAACGCCAGTAGCGCTCGTTCTGAAGTTCATCAGGACCGAGAAATATCTAAATCGGTTTTAGACGCGTTGCCCCATGTAGGCGCTCGTCCGTTAGTTTTCTACACTTTCTCAGAACCTGTGACAAGGAGGACGGCTGGCACTATGGGTTGGGACGGGTAATTGGGTGGGTACTGGGTAGGACCCGGGTACCCACAGGACTACCCGGACCCGTGGCTAGTCACGTGACATATTGTTTAATGACAAAAAATATCTAGAACTCTATGGTTACACTACAAGTCACTAATGTTCGTATTTTTTTCTGACTATACACCCATTCCTTCTGATTTTTCATATGGTTGAATAAAGACATAACTTAATTCAACTTCAATGTATGAATGACCAGATTGTTTAATACCTGCATTGAATACGTTTTGCCAGGGCTGTACTAAAAAAATTTCCAATCGGACATTTTGAGACACCTCCTGATACCTACAGTGGGTACCCGGGTAGGGTCGGGTAATAGGGGCTTGGTGCCCGGGTAATAAATTTGGACTAGTCCCAACCCTAGCTGGCACCATGATAGGATTGACTTTTGTTATGCCAGAATTTTTAATTTCAAATGAGTTGTTTTACTTTTTATCCCTGGAAGCAGATATGGTGATATAGTCCAGTGTGGCCTCGCCACACCGAAGTACCGGGTTCGATTCTCCACAGGAATGGTGCGATGTGGAGCACATTCTTGGTGTCCCTCGTTGCGATACTGCCAAAGACCGCATACAAACATTCCCACTCAGACACGTTTCAATAACGTTGTCCCACTAACTATGTCACGTGTATTCACATAATATTGTAGGTAGAAAATCCATGAGCAACGTGATGTCGGTGAAGGATGGAATAATGGATACCGCTGTTTGTAAACATAGTTAAATATCCATCAATCCGAGTTCATTTAAGGCATTCCATTGTGCCATTCTCGCACGGCTCCGTGTATAACGTGTATATTGCATAATGACTGAATGACGCTTTGTGGAACGTGTATATTGTATAGGCTAATCATTGACCGACGCTCTGCAGTTTAATACTGATAATAATAATAATGGTGTCCTTATATTGCGCTGGCTTAGATACACAAGATGTCTGCTCAACGCGCTAACATTATTACCAAGGATCAGTGGTCACTCGATTTTCATTCTCAGTTCCCTGTATACAGTATAGGCTAATGATTGACCGATTCTCTGTAGCACGTGTATATTGTATAGGCTAATGATTGACCGATTCTCTGTAGCACGTGTATACTGTATAGGCTAATGATTGGCCGATTCTCTGTAGCACGTGTATATTGTATAGGCTAATGATTGGCCGTTTCTCTGTAGCACGTGTATGTTGTATAAGCTAATGACTGACCGATTCTCTGTAGCACGTGTATACTGTATAGGCTATTGATTGGCCGATTCTCTGTAGCACGTGTATGTTGTATAAGCTAATGATTGACCGATTCTCTGTAGTACGTGTATGTTGTATAGGCTAATGATTGGTCGATTCTCTGTAGCACGTGTATATTGTATAGACTAATGATTGACCGATTCTCTGTAGCACGTGTATGTTGCATAGGCTTATGATTGACCGATTCTCTGTAGCACGTGTATATTGTATAGACTAATGATTGATTGATTCTCTGTAGCACGTGTATATTGTATAGGCTAATGATTGACCGATTCTCTGTAGCACGTGTATACTGTATAGGCTAATGATTGGCCGATTCTCTGTAGCACGTGTATACTGTATAGGCTAATGATTGGCCGTTTCTCTGTAGCACGTGTATGTTGTGTAAGCTAATGACTGACCGATTCTCTGTAGCACGTGTATACTGTATAGGCTAATGATTGACCGATTCTCTGTAGCACGTGTATGTTGTATAAGCTAATGATTGACCGATTCTCTGTAGCACGTGTATGTTGTATAGGCTAATGATTGACCGATTCTCTGTAGCACGTGTATATTGTATAGGCTAATGATTGACCGATTCTCTGTAGCACGTGTATACTGTATAGGCTAATGATTGGCCGATTCTCTGTAGCACGTGCATACAGTATAGGCTAATGATTGGCCGATTCTCTGTAGCACGTGTATACTGTATAGGCTAATGATTGGCCGATTCTCTGTAGCACGTGTATGATGTATAAGCTAATGATTGGCCGATTCTCTGTAGCACGTGTATGTTGTATAGGCTAATGATTGGCTGATTCTCTGTAGCACGTGTATACTGTATAGGCTAATGATTGACCGATTCTCTGTAGCACGTGTATGTTGTATAAGCTAATGATTGGCCGATTCTCTGTAGCACGTGTATACTGTATAGGCTAATGATTGACCGATTCTCTGTAGCACGTGTATGTTGTATAAGCTAATGATTGGCCGATTCTCTGTAGCACGTGTATATTGTATAGGCTAATGATTGGCCGATTCTCTGTAGCACGTGTATATTGTATAGACTAATGATTGGCCGATTCTCTGTAGCACGTGTATATTGTATAGGCTAATGATTGGCCGATTCTCTGTAGCACGTTTATATTGTATAGGCTAATTACTGACCGAAGCTCTGTAGCACGTGTATGTTGTATAGGCTAATGATTGGCCGATTCTCTGTAGCACGTGTATATTGTATAGGCTAATGACTGACCGAAGCTCTGTAGCACCTGTATATTGTATAGGCTAATGATTGACCGATTCTCTGTAGCACGTGTATATTGTATAGGCTAATGATTAACCGAAGCTCCGAATAGCAAGTGTATATTGTATACCGACGCTCTGTAGCACGTGTATATTAATGACTGAACAACACGTTGGAGCACGTGCTAAATGAGTATGCTGTGTTACGCGAGTATTTTGTATAATGGCTGATCAACACCCTAGAGCACGTGAAGTATAATTGTATAATGACCGATAAACACCCTGTAGCACGTGTCTTGTAATTGTAGGTTGCCTAATATTATGACTGACCGACACCGTAAAGAATGCGGTCAGTGCACAGCAGGTGCGAGGTCAGCGGTATACCTTATACTGCGAGTGACCATTGGGCAGTCAGCGCGTTATCGGCCGCGGTATTGTCCTCGGGGACGCGTGCTAGAGAAGTCACTTGAGGTCACAATTTCTTAGGACAGGTAGGGCCTAATTTATCTTGAATACTGATTTAGACCAGTGGCAAAAGTTCACATTCCCCATATATAGAAGTACTTGCAGAACACCACGGTTGCATGGCGCCCCTGCAACATGCGCATCATTGACAAGCTAGACTTGCCAAATCATTCCAGACTTGAGTTGGATTCGTTTTTGAAGTTATTCTCTAGGGTATGGGAGACAAACTATGGGCCTGTATGACTCGTTTTTAATTCTCAGCTCCCCGGGGAGTATACAGCAGAAGCTGCCCCTGGGGCGCTGAGGTTAACATTAACATTATCATCTCATCCTACGTATGCTTGTAAAGTTATATAGATAAGAGATAAGACAGGACAGGCCTTATTTTTCCAAGGGGTATTCATGTTGCACTGTCGATTAGCACTAAAATATGAAAACAAAATATATGATATTAAAATATGTACATAAGAAAATAAGATACTTACTTATATAACCACAAGTAAAACGTGTAGAACATTTAACACGATCACGATGACAAAGAATGGTATTTAACTAAAATGCTTTGAATAAATGTTCTTTAAAACAGTGAGACTCAGAGAATTGTATTATCAAGTTTCAAATACCTAAGACGCCGTAAGAAAATAAAATCGCTTTTGGTCCTTTTTATAAATATGCTCCGTGTTAGCATTCCAAGTGAGTTTCGAATCAATAATGGTGCCAAGATACTGTCAGCCAAATCAATATTTTCGTTATCAGTAACAACAGGCAGAATTTCGTTTCCTTGTCTTTTTAACATTTGGAGGAAGAAAATTAATCTTGCACCATTGGACAAATTTTGAAATTTGGGAGCGATAATAAATTTCAAACTACGCTATGAATCCGGCCAGCGCTGCGTCATCTGCAAACTTTGCGGTTAAACAATTGTTAAAATTACTGATACAGTCATTTGCGTATAAATAAATAAAACAGGAGCGAGCACTGTCACCACTGCTTCTCATGCACGTAAACGGACCCCTGTTGTCTGCATATACATTCACTTTGCATTCCCAGCTCCCCAAGTAAACCCATCAAGATCCTGGTTAGAATCATCTTCCCGAGGCAAGAGCGTCCACTAGCCTTTTTTATCAAAGCAGAAACAAGGCTTTGACACAGGCTAGCGGACACGCTTGTCTCGGGAAGATGGGGAAGAATTTTTCTTCACTCTTAAGCAATCCACGCTTGTCGTAAGAGGCGACTAACTGAATCGGGTGACCAGGCTGGCTGACTTGATGGATGCGTATCATCGAATCCCATTTGTGTAGATCGATGCTCATGTCAATCACTGGATTGTCTGGTCCAGACTCGATTATGTACAGACCGTCATATAGCTGGAATGTTGCTGAATGCTGCGTAAAACAATAAACAAAACAAACTAAGTGAGGTTACTGCTAAATATTAATACATCTCTCGGATAATTTGGTTGGATTGGACCCGATATAGTTATATATTAACGCAAATAGTAACAATGTATTTGCACAGCCTGGTTTCAGTAAACATATGCAAATCCGACGCTGA